ACACACACACACACACGTCTGAGCATTAGTGTGACCGGAAATTATATAACTTTTAAGCTGCAGCTGTCATTACTTGTTACTTTGTTACTTTAAAACCTTAAAATGTGGCTGTCATTTTAAACAGGAGATATAGAAGAATTTTAACTCATTCTAATATACCATTATAGCACAATTTATACTTCTGAGACAGTGTAAAGTCATTTCAGTTAAAAGCAACTTTCTAGAAAGCAGTTCCTTAAAGAATCTATCCTGACCTTTGCCATTTAAGGGAAACTGGTTTTATAGTTTTAAAAAAAACTATTAAAATGTTCTAGTCCCAGCAGTATTGGTCTTTTAGTCCCAACATGTCCGTGACAGTTTCAGATTTCATGTCAGATGGTGCCACCTAATGGCAGAACATAAGCATGGACGTGTAGGAACAATGTATGCTGGATAGGAGACAGTTGATAGATTAAATGTGCTGTGAAGTTAAAAAACATGGAATGTCTCTGCTAAGGACTTGGAGGGATTGCCAAACAAAATGGAATTAGTTACAGGCCTGCAGTCTCCACATCGCAAACCGATTTAACAAGATCCACCGAAACCACGATTTGGACAAACAGCATTTCATCAGTCAAGGGAATTATCAGAGACATGCACATTTTCCTAGCTTATAATGAACAGTCTTATTTCTACCACCTATGTTATATCCCATCTATGATAGGATACTTAACTGATAAAGAGATGAATTTGGTCGCTTTGCTGGTTGTTGAAAAGGAACATGGGAATTAAGCATTGCAAGTGCACTGCATGCAGCAGTTTTCCATGAAGGCCTGTTTTTTTCCTTGCAGTTGCCCAATGAATTTAGAGGTGCACCTGAGACTCGTTTGTCTCTGGTGCACATCAAAAACCCGACTTTATCTAGTAACCAGACTGAATACTGCTCTGAATCAGTTGTATTTTCTCTTTTAAGTTAACAGCAGTCTGGAAATAAAGAGGTGTGCAAAAAAAAGTATTCAAGATTTCATACATTTTCAGTTAGATGCTTAAAAAAAAAATAAAAATAAAAAAAAAGTTCCAGTTGAACTGGGTCACCAGCAAAATGAAGAGCAGGTCATTACGCATCACTTGTGCTTTCAGAGCAGATCTTTGCCTGCCGTAGATGCTGCACATGAATGGCTTCAGTTTGAGCTAAATATTTAAAACATGCACCACCTGCTCTCACAACTGTGAGATATTACTATAAAGTATAAATAAGCTAGCCCACACACAGACTCATCTAGAAAGATTTATTTACATTTCCCCTAAAGATCAGTTTAATTGTATCCATGCAGTTAATGATCCATCTTCTGATGTTGGACCTAGAATGAGAAAGATGATTAGTGGTGTTGAGCTTATGCAGGTTCTAAAGGGAAAGAGGGAGAAAAAAGGACAAAGTAAACACCAACTAGTTTTATGGAGTTTACCTCTTCGGTTAAGCCCCTTGCAGAATCTGGTTTGTGCCAGTTGCCCTGACCCAAGGCAGAAGATGAGGTCTGTGCTGGTAACGCATCATCCAAGGATGCATTTGATAGCTGCGTGCCTGTATTGGGATTTGAGTCTGATAGTCAGAATGGGCATGTGGATATGCTGGATAACTATGAGGCTTTGTCTTGGCCTGAGCATGATGACTGCGAGGCTCTAGGTGGCCCCGCGACTGAGAACTGCTAGCATGCAGCTGGTCTTGGGGCTGAGCCGGAGAACTACGAGGTTGTGGCAGTGAGTCAGCCTGATAGCGTTCAGGCTGAGAGCTGAGAGACTGCAGCTGGGTCTGGATTTGGGCCCGAGGATGGGCATGGCCCTGAAAGCTGCTGGGCTGCATTTGGGACTTCAGCTGGGCATGGGAATGGCCCTGATTGCTGCGAGGCTGTGGCTGGGTCGGCAGCTGGGTCTCAGGATGGACTTTATGGCTACGAGGCTGGGTCTGGGGACGGACCTGGGGATGGCCGTGAAAGGTACGAACCTGAGGCTGGGTCTGGGCATGACCCTGAAAGCTGCGAGGCTTTGGCTGGGTCTGTACCTGGAGATGGCCTTGATGGCTACGAGGCTGTGGCTGGGTCTGGGGATGAGCCTGGCCTTGAAAGCTGCGGGGTTGTAGCTGGTTCTGGGCCTGGGCATGGCCCAGATTGCTGCGAGGCTGTGGCTGGTTCTGTAGCTGGGTCTTTGGATGGCCTTTATGGCTACGAGGCTGGGTCTGGACCTGGGAACTACCCTGAAAGCTGCGAGGCTGTGGCTGGGTCTGTATGTGGGGATGGCCCTGAAAGCTACGAGGCTGAAGCTGTGACGTCAGCTGAGCCTGGGGATAGCCACGATAGATGCGAGGCTGCGGCTGGTAGGAATAGCCATGAAAGCTGTGAGGCTGCAACTGGTTCTGAGGATGACCCTCAAGCTGGAATTGGGGACGGCCCTGAAAGCTCCTGGGCTGTGGCTGGGTCTGCAGCTGGGTCTTAGTATGGCCTTGATGGCTACGAGGCTGGGTCTCGGGACGGACCTGAGGATGACCCTGAAAGTTGCGAGGCTGCAGCTGAGTCTGGGGTTGGCCCTGAAAGGTACGAGGCTGAGGCTGCATCTGGGTCTTGGGGTGGCCCTCAATCCTGCGAGGCTGTGGTTGGATTTGGGGACGATTCTGAAAGCTCCGAGGCTGGGTGTGGGGACGGACCTGGGGATGGGCCTGGCGGGGACCCTGGGTCTCAGGATGGCCATGACTGCGAATCTGCAGCTGGGGATAGGCCTCAGCCCAGTAACTATTAACCTGTGGCTGAGATTGATAGCTGCGAGCCTGCACCAGGGGCTGTGACAGGGGCTGGACTTGTGGTTGAGAACCATGAGCTTGCAGCAATGGCTGGGGGAGGTAGCTGCGAGACTGGGGTTGGCCCTTGGGCTGAGAGCTAGGAGCCAGAGAGCTCCGAGGCTGAGGCTGGGCCTGGTCCAGGCGCAGAGGGTGGAACCAGTGTGGCAATTGATGAAGCTGGTCACCCGAGACCTGCTTACTGGCATCAAGATTTCCAA